CTGAAAAGGATCCCTCTCCCGCCTGTGCCTTGCCGGAGAGGGACCCTGAATGGGCTTCCTGTCCAGCGGCGGGAGAGGGACCCTGAAAAGGCTCCCTCTCCCGCCTGCGCGTTGCCGGCAAGGGAACCTGAAAAGGTTCCCTGTCCGGCGGCGGGAGGGGGACCCTCAAAAGGCTCCCTCTCCCGCCTGTGCGTTGCCGGAGAGGGACCCGCGCGGACCCTTTCGGGGCGACCGGCGTGCGTCGCGGGGACTCCGTGCGGCGCCGCGCCCGCAGCCGTGGACATCGGCGCGCACGGGCAAAGAGGGAGAATAAATTAGCCTGGCGAAGAACCCAACCATATGCAGTTGTCAGTACCGCAGCTGCGGGTTTCATCTTCAGTGGAACTCCCCACAGGACCACGGAACGTGTGAGGGGTGTGCCGAGATGGGCGCCACTGGGGCAGTCGGTGAAGCTCCCTATGGAGACATGAAACACACGCGGGGCGTGCCGACATGGGTGGCGGAAACGCATGTAAGGGCCGCCGCTGGGGCCTCCAGTGGAGTGGGTCCCCGAAACATGATGCTGCTGCGGGGGGGGGGGCCGGGATGGGGGGCGGAGACGCATGTAAGCGCCGCTACTGGGGCCTTCGGTGGAGCTCCCTATGGGGCCACGAAGCGCGTGAGGGGTGTACTGGGATGTGTGGCGGGGACGCATGTGAGCGCCGCCACTGGGGCCTTCGGTGCAGCTCCCTATGGGGCCACGAAACGTGTGAGGGGTGTGCCGAATTGGGCGCGGGTGGTGACGCACGCGGGCGGCACCACTGGGGCCTTCGGTGGAGCTCCATATGAGGCCACGAAACCTGTTGTTGTGAGGGGCGTGCCGGGATGGGTGGCGGGGACGCATGTGAGCGCGGTCGCTGGGGCCTTCGGTGGAGCTCCCTATGGGGCCACGAAGCGCGTGAAGGGTGTACTGGGATGTGTGGCGGGGACGCATGTGAGCGCCGCCACTGGGGCCTTCGGTGCAGCTCCCTATGGGGCCACGAAACGTGTGAGGGGTGTGCCGAATTGGGCGCGGGTGGTGACGCACGCGGGCGGCAGCACTGGGGCCTTCGGTGGAGCTCCATATGAGGCCACGAAACCTGTTGTTGTGAGGGGCGTGCCGGGATGGGTGGCGGGGACGCATGTGAGCGCGGTCGCTGGGGCCTTCGGTGGAGTTCCCCATGGGGCCACGAAACGTGTGAGGGGTGTGCCGAATTGGGTGGATGTGGGTGACGCATGTGAGCGCCGCCACGGCCTCCGGTGGATGATGGGTCCACGAAACCTGTGAGGGATGTGCCGAAATGGGTGTGCGGGACGCATGCGCATGTGAGCGCTGCCACTGGGGCCGTTGGTGGAGCTCCCTATGGGGCCACGAAACGCGTGAGGGGTGTGCCGACATGGGCGTGCAGGACGCATGCGGGCGGCAGCACTGGGGCCTTCGGTGGAGCTCCAACTGAGGCCACGAAACCTGTTGTTGTGAGGGGCGTGCCGGGATGGGTGCCGGGGACGCATGTGAGCGCGGTCGCTGGGGCCTTCGGTGGAGCTCCCTATGGGGCCACGAAGCGCGTGAAGGGTGTACTGGGATGTGTGGCGGGGACGCATGTGAGCGCCGCCACTGGGGCCTTCGGTGCAGCTCCCTATGGGGCCACGAAACGTGTGAGGGGTGTGCCTAATTGGGCGCGGGTGGTGACGCACGCGGGCGGCAGCATTGGGGCCTTCGGTGGAGCTCCATATGAGGCCACGAAACCTGTTGTTGTGAGGGGGGTGCCGGGATGGGTGGCGGGGACGCATGTGAGCGCGGTCGCTGGGGCCTTCGGTGGAGCTCCCTATGGGGCCACGAAACGTGTGAGGGGTGTGCCGAATTGGGTGGGTGTGGGTGACGCATGTGAGCGCCGCCACTGGGGCCTCCGGTGGATGATGGGTCCACGAAACGTGTGAGGGGCGTGCCGAAATGGGTGTGCGGGACGCATGCGCATATGAGCGCTGCCACTGGGGCCTTTGATGGAGCTCCCTATGGGGCCACAAAACGCGTGAGGGGTGTGCCAACAGAGGCGTGCAGAACGCATGCGGGCGGCAGCACTGGGGCCTTCGGTGGAGCTCCTTATGGGGCCACGAAACGTGTGAGGGGTGTGCACAAATGGGCGTGCGGGACGCATGCGGGCGGCAATGCTGGGGCCTTCGGTGGGGCCCCCTTTATGGGGCCACGAAACGTGTGAGGGATGTGCCGAAATGGGTGTGCGGGACGCATGCGGGCGGCTGCACTGGGGCCTTCGGTGGAGCTCCCTATGGGGCCACGGAACGTGTGAGGGGTGTGCCGACTTGGGTGTGCGTGACGCACGCGGGCGGCAGCACTGGGGCCTTCGGTGGAGCTCCCTATGGGGCCACGAAACGTGTGAGGGGTGTGCCGAAATGGGCGTGCGTGACGCATGCGGGCGGCAGCACTGGGGCCTTCGGTGGAGCTCCCTATGGGGCCACGGAACGTGTGAGGGGTGTGCCGAATTGGGTGTGCGTGACGCATGCGGGCGGCAGCATTGGGGCTTTCGGTGGAGCTCCTTATGGGGCCACGAAACGTGTGCGGGGTGTGCCGAATTGGGTGTGCGTGACGCATGCGGGCGGCAGCACTGAGGCCTTTTAATGGGGCCACAAAACGTGTGAGGGGTGTGCCGAATTGGGTGTGCGTGACGCATGCGGGCGGCAGCACTGGGGCCTTCGGTGGAGCTCCCTATGGGGCCACGAACGTGTGAGGGGTGTGCCGTGTGCGTGACGCATGCGGGCGGCAGCACTGGGGCCTTCGGCCGAGTTCCCTATGGGGCCACGAAACGCGTGAGGGGTGTGCCGAATTGGGTGCGTGACGCATGCGGGCGGCAACACTGGGCCTTCGGTGGAGCTCCCTTATGGGGCCACGACGCGTGTGAGGGGTGTGCCGATTTGGGTGTGCGTGACGCATGCGGGCGGCAGCACTGGGGCCTTCGAGTGGGGCCACGAAACGTGTGAGGGGTGTGCCGAATTGGGTGTGCTGACGCATGGGGCCACGGAACGTGTGAGGGGTGTGCCGAAGTGGGTGTGCGCTCCCTATGAACGTGTGAGGGGTGTGCCGAATTGGGTGTGCGTGCGGGCGGCAGCATTGGGGCATTCGGCGGAGCTCCCTATGGGGCCACGAAGCGTGTGAGGGGTGTGCCAAATTGGGTGTGCGTGAGGCATGCGGGCGGCAGCACTGGGGCCTTTTTATGGTGCCACGAAGCGTGTGAGGGGTGTGCCGACTTGGGTGTGCGTGGCGCATGCGGGCGGCAGTACTGGGGCCTTCGGCGGAGCTCCCTATGGGGCCACGAAACGTGTGCGGGGTGTGCCGAATTGGGTGTGCGTGACGCATGCGGGCGGCAGCCGTGGGGCCTTCGGTGGAGCCCGCTATGGGGCCACGAAACGTGTGAGGGGTGTGCCGAATTGGGTGTGCGTGACGCATGCGGGCGGCAGCACTGGGGCCTTCGGTGGAGCTCCCTATGGGGCCACGAAACGTGTGAGGGGTGTGCCGAACTGGGTGTGCGTGACGCATGCGGGCGGCAGCACTGGAACCTTCGGCGGAGCTCCCTATGGGGCCACGAAACGGTGTAGTGGCGGGTGAAGAGGAGAGGAGGAGAGGAGGAGAGGAGGAGAGGAGAGGAGAGGAGAGGAGAGGCGAGGAGGACGCGGGGACCGTCTCTTCAAAACGAGGACCCAACACCACAGGATGGTTGGGAAAAACAGGAAGGAAGCGGGCGCGATCCTCGTGAGGAGCGTGCCAACATGGTCGTCGACACTCACGCACGTAGACTGGTGAGCACGCAGACTCGTTCACAATCAGACGCGCTCGCGCTCAGGCGCACCCGTTCTCAGTCTCTCGCACTCGGACCGATCGTCTGTGTTCGCGTGGTGTACCCCGCCACGCATTTCGGCACGCCCCTCACACGGTTCGTGGCCCCACAGGGAGCGCGGGCGAAGATTATATGCACAATGGCTGCATTCACAGCTGCATATGGTTGGGTCCTTCGCCAGGCTAATTGTGATCTGCGCGACTGCATGCGTCTTGCCGCCCCTGACTCACCAACTCCCCTGCTGATCGTTTCTGGATGGGCTGGTGGGGACGTGTTTTTCGCAAGCGTCGCGGTCCAACCGCGCGCCGTCCGAACACGTGCAACTATCGAGCAGCGGGCTGAATTACCTGGTGGGGATACGCGAAGCCTCAAAATTTCAGAAGATGTGCGATCGCCTGGTGCTAAAAAACAGCGTGTTGACCGCTGTAAAGTTGCATGGGGGAGCTACCAAGTATTGTTTAGAAGCTATGATATTTGAAAGCGTGGGCCCCGAACAACAACCAAAAAACACTCTGACTGCGGAGGCTGTGCTGCAAGCTATGCGGAGCTATCAACGTGCAGCAAGCTGTGTGGTGCAAACTGTATGGTGTAAGCTATGTGGCGCCCACGGGGCGCACGCGGGCGGACACGGGCGGCTAGCGGACGAAACCCGCGAAACACACCCAGTTCACGGGGCGCCTCGCGGACGTGAGCGGCCACGAGGCGAAAACCTGAAGACCATGTCAACGCACAGGGCGCCCAAGAGACGCCTACGGGCGGCCACGGGCGGCCATGAGGCAAAAGTCCGAAGCAAATGACAATTCCTCACCAAGGCAAGTGAGAAACCCTGTGCTGCCTTGACCTTATGTGGTCTGAGCGGAAAGTCTAGTGAGACAGTTACTAGCAGGTGTTCGGACATGGTTGGGGACCAGATGCTGCCCTGTGCGGCTTTTCTCTCAAAAGAGCCACTGCACATTGTCTGTGGGGTTAATCCTACCTACAGCCAACTCCTATGGCCAGTTCAAGATGGCAAAACATATAGCTGGTACCCATGAAGGAGGGGAGGGCATGGAAGGAGAATCGGGAAGAAGTGGAGGGAGCGGGCAGCGGAGGAGAAAGTGGAAGGGAAGAGGGACGGTGAGAGCTGGCCCCGTCCTTGAACGCGGCGTTTCCCTTCTCCTTGTGCGCCTCCGCCTCCTGGCGCGCGAAGTCAGGCCTGCTTGCCCCCCAGCCCTGGGGAGACAAAAAGATACCACTATCGCTACTCCCCGGACCCCTCCTGTGGTGCGTTGAGATCGTCACGCAGCTTAGGAGTTCGGCACCCAGTCGGATAACCAGGCGCATTCGGGGCCCCATAGCTGCCATTACCCAGTACACTGGATTTGGCATTTCAAGGAGGAGCATGCAACAGGCGGTGAGGACCTCTCTGGCCGTCTCGGTGATGTCCAGAGCGCTTGCCAGCAGGATTGGTCTCTGGCAGCAGTGCACTAGTGCGGCGAGGGTGTGGCAGCCGACATCGACAATCACAGCGATATGAAATTAGTCTGGCTCGTGTCAAGGCAGTGAGCTGTAGACGAGGCCAAGATCAGGCTCGACCCCACGTGCAGGCGATGCGGCGACGTCTGCTGAAACACCCTTGCACCAAATCTGTCGATAGTCTTGCAGACGTGGGGCGAAAGCTTCTAAAGATTCCGACGCGCTCGTTCCAAGCGGTCTCGCACGGCACAAGAGCAAGAAAGTGACGAGCCCAGCTGGGAGTTTCTTGCTCACGAGGGCTCAAACATACTAGATTGCGGCACGCTCAGGCACAGACGACCCGAGCAACGAGTACTTGTGTTTGGTGACGCCAGTGGTGGGCCAGACGTTCGTGAACCTAGGTTTCGGAGGATTCGAGTTGCTGTCAACAAAGTTGGCCTCGTACAGTCCCCCCGCGGTTGGTGCACACGTTTTTGTTCCCCTCCCAGGCCTGGTAAGCGTCAAACTGCTCACTGCGGTGAACTCCAAAAGCTCCTGCTGGCTACTTTCGTGTGCCGCTCGTCTACGTTGCATCCTCTGGTCTACGTTGCGTGTTGCCGTCGACGACTGTTGGGTTTCCCTCACTTTGGCAGGACTGTGTCGTGAACTCACTACTGACCATCGGCGGCTTTTCGATTGCCGGATGATTCAATGTTGGACGATGCTGGGCCACCAGCGGCGCTCAACCTCGAACGCCCGCGCTGGGGCAGCATCCGCGTCGACCCTCCACGAGACTGCCCTATGTGTGGCACTCCGGGGACAGCAAAGAGCCTTGAGATCTCGTTAGATTCCAGCTCCGTGAAACGAACCGTGACTCGTCACAAATAGTGGTCCTCAAGGTGGAGTCTCACTGGGCGACAAATCACCTTGTTCGCAGAGCAGGGTCTCCGAATTCCCAACTATTGGGAACACTTGTGCTGACGAGTCGGCTGGGCTGGAGTAGCATCCCTTCGGGCCAAAAATCCTGTCCCATGTCGATCTCCCGTGTGGCAGGTGGAAAGGAGGCTTTGCTCGGGAGGCCCTGAATCAGGCCGCTGCTGCCCCCACTTCCCAGACCACCCTCCTTCTCACTCCTCCCTCTCAATGTTCAGTTCTGCCCGCCAGCATGGTGGCGCTACGCCACGGCCACCCGCTCCGTATGGGCGCCTCCCTCGAGGCATATCACGGCCGGCGCAAGGGTAAGTTCAATGGCAAAGGGTCAACGCCCCCCAGCACACCTCGTGGGGGCAAAGGCGGCCCCCCGTTCCCTGGCGAGTCCACCTACCGCCAGGGACCAAATTCGCAGAACAGACTCCTGCTCGTCTTCCCTGGGCTCGAAGCGCGGTGCCCCGATTTTTCGCCACAAACGTCATCACCATCAGCACCGTCGACGGGTGTCAGGGTGACGAAGAAGCACTGGTCGTTTTCTGCACCACCCGTGCGAACACGTCCAACGAGCGGGGGTTCATGGATGACGCCCGACGCATCAACGTCGCCATGCCAAGTAAGAGAGCCCAGGAAAGCTTCACCGTCGTCATGAACGGCAAGATGTCCAAGGCAGCCGGCGAGGCTCATATCAACACGCTTGCCGACTGGGCCCTTGGACCCGGGCGCCTGGATTTCATACAAGCACGACGGTTACACTGTACACCACCCGTCCGGCCACGCCGCCCCGGCCAAATGCCACGGGGAAGGGGGGGATGAAAAACCGACCGCGGGCAAGGACGCCTGGCGACTAGGGGGGAGACCCCCGAGGGGGGAGAAGGGGGAGGAGGGGGGGAGAGGAACCAGAAGGCGGAAGAAGCGGGCGCGCGGCCGTGGGACCTGAGCCACCGACCCCCACCGTTAGGAGCAAACGCGCTCGCCTGGGGAGGCAAGGAGCGGGAGAAAAGAAGGTAAGGGGGGGGAAAGGGAGGGGGGAACACACGCCGAAGAAAACAGAATATGGCCAGGCAGGAGGGGCAGCTGACAGAAACTCTGGCGCGGGCGCGGCGCCCATCGGAGAAGGATGTGTTGTAGGTCCCTGGCGGGGGGCGCTATCCCGCCAGGGCACCTCGGACAGGGCGCCGCGCCGCAAACATCGTGACTCCGAGCCTCTAGGAAGGCGAGGGAGGGAGGGGGGGCAGAAGAGGCAGGAGGCGGAAAAACGGAGGAGGGGAACGAGGAAGGCTAGGCGTCGTCGTCGCCCGGAGCCGCCATCAGGCAGAGAGCAGCGGACTGCGCGCCCCCGTATTCGGGGGGCTCAGCAAGCACGAAGAGGCCGCAGGCACCCGGCGCAGGCTCGACGAAAACACAGCCTTCGACCCGCGGCATATCCAGAGCGGATGGGCAGACAGCGCAGCCAGCCCAGAGGAGACGAGGGCGATACTCGCCGAAGGATAGTTCAAGGCCTGGTTCAGTCAGATGCAAGAGGCACAGGAGCAGCACGCCCTGGGCCTTGCCACCGTCTATGACACCCAGCTCCCGGACAACTTCCATTGGGAACGGCTGGGTGACGACCTGGCCGCCGCCGGTGCCGCCCTGCTGGCAGACCCCGGCCTTCTTTCCGGTCCTTTACGACGTCCTGGGCCTGCGCCCTCCCCTGCACGGCCCGGGGGGCGCCCTGGCCAACTTCCACGAGCACTGCCGCAAGCGGGTCAGCCACGATGATTATATCTTTGATCTCGACATGGGGGTCGACCCGACCAACTACGCATACGCGGCAACCTAAGCGCGCCTCGCTTGCATGGCCAGCCTTCAACCCACATGCCAGGACGCTCACTTCGCCCCTGAGCACCTGCTCGCCGAAGAACCGCGAACTACGCGCCGGAACAAGTGGCAATCACAGCAAGAGAGCAGTCCCCGCCAACGCGCCCCGCAGGCCGCCGGCCGCCCGGAGCACCACCACGCGATCCTGCCACTGGCACGGCGCCCCGCCCGACGCCAGCCACCTCCCCGCCCTGCTGCAGGCCCACGACCGCCAGCCCGAACCGCTCAAGCAGTCCTTCCAAGGTCCTGACGGGCAACCGTTGCCCAGCGCCTGGGCGAGGAGCTCTCTGGCCACGATGGTCCTCATGGTCCGCGAGCCGAGGCCCCTCATGGCCATGTATGCCAAGCCTGGCCCGATCGGCGACGTCCTGGAGGACGTTCTCGACATCGACATGTGCACGCCGCGCAACCCTGCCCGGCTGCGGGCGCGGGAACTGCTTCGGAGCGGCGCGCTGCATCACCGACAAGGACTTCCACGGGCCCCACGCACGGCTGGAGGCGCTGATCGACTACCTGGGCCCGGGCGGAGATGCAGCGGGCCCCGCCCCCAACGTCCGCTCCAAGCGGTGCTCGAGATTCTGGTGCCACCAGCCAGTCTGACCGCGCTGGCGGGCCACGAGCGCGCCATCTGCGCCCTCTTCGTCGAGCTCGCAGGGCGAGACAGGGCTCCTGCCAAAGGGGCAACCGCGCCAGCTCCGGTGCCCCATGCAGGGGAGAAATGTCAAGTGGCGGACAAGACATCCACTCAGCTCGCCCGGCCGATCCCCCACCTGGCGCAACGCTGAGTCCGGCTGTCTGGTTCCACCCGGACAAGGACGCGGCGCAAATCTGGCGCGACAATAAGGGGCGCGGAGGGGGGCGACTTCAAGCCGACGACGATGCCTGGGCAAGCCGCGACCAGACTTACCCTCGCCAACAGCAGACTGGCCGCATATCGGGCCGGCAGGGACTGCCGCCGGCACTGCGCCAAGCGCTGCAGGGAAGACCTGGCCGGGCGAGGCTTCGCCGCCCCCGACGGCGCAGATCCGATCGGCCGTTCCCTTCGCGCGCTAGACGAAGCCCGCCGGCCCGCCGAAGGCGACCGCGCTAAGGGCCGCGACGCGCGCCCCAGTAGCGCCCGCACCGACCGCGGCCCCCTCGAGGCCAGGGCCGCCCGCCTCCGGAAGGGCACCAGCGACTCAGGGACGCAGGCTGGGACGCGGCCCCGCTCCGACCACCGCCCTCCGCCGGAGCCACTGAGGAAGGGCCGAGGGGCCACTCCCGACCGGCCGCGACCGGCCAGCAGGCGGGCCGCCCCCCAGCAGAGCGACCCGGCCGCAGGCCCCTCCAAGGGGGCCCAACCGATGGACACGCGGCGGCGGGCCCAGCCCTACGCCAGCGACCTGCCCAGCCCCGCCGCTCCCCGAGCGCTCGCGGGACTGCGGAGACTTTCTCGCGATGACGCAGGCTGACATGGCCGCCGCGGTCAAGTTCTGCAGAGTCAACTACGGCCCCGCTGTGGATCAAAAGTGAATCAGCTGCTACACTGACGGGATCAAGTAAGGCCCCATGGCCCCCGCAGACTTGGACGACAGCCATCTGCAGATGATCCTGGGAACCATCTGAGACGGGCGACCCTCGCCAGGCGGCCCCGCCAGCTTACCGGAGTGGGCATGGGTAGCAACAGCAAGGCAACAAATGCCGGCGCACATGGTCGAATGGGTCGCGCGCAAGAACCCGCAGGCAGCTGCAAAGTGGAACGAGCTCGATCCCGGCACAGCTGCAGGCTTCGAAAAGCCCCCAGCGCTGCTCTCATACGAAGCCCTGCTCGACTTCGCCAGGGGCCACAACAGGTCGGACCACGAAGGCTGCCCGCGCGCAGAGGAGGGCTACTTCCAGCACGGAACGCCACCCCACACCTTGCGCACCACGATTGAAACCGTCGCCCCAGCCGTGCGACCCGCCTGCAGGCCAGA